AGAAACGTATATTGAAACTTTATTAGCTTTTTGAAAATAATTGTATTCATTTTTTTTTTTTAAATTGTAAAAAAAAATTGGGGAGTTATGTCGGCCTGTTTGTTTTTTTTGGGAAGGGCGAGGGGGGGGGGTAATTTTTTAAAAAAAATAATTTCAGGGGATACGTTAACGCTGTCTGTTGTTTTCATAATTTTTACCTTTGTACTTTGTTTGCAAATGTTTCAAAATTTTACTTTGGTCTTTTATTCTTTCGCCGTTAAATGTTGTATTTTGCCTTTAAATATTTGCAACACTGTCAAGCACATTGAATTATCTCGTGTACGTAATATGCAATATAAATAAAACTGCCTTGCCGCTGTTGACCTCCCGGGTGCAGAAGACCAACAACTAATGTCAGTCGTGTGATTTTTTTTTTTTTTGTCCAGATCAACCAATTCAAGAAGCTGGAGCAGGAGGTGATCAAACCCGTAGAGAACGACATCTCACAGTGGATGCCTCACCAACACTCGGGCAGGACCGCCACCCCCCAAACGGAGACGACGACGTCCCAGTCCGCCTCCACGCGCACATGCGCGAGGGATCGCCAGCTGCTGGGTTTCTACTCGGAGCAGTGCGAGCAGCACTTTGTCACGCTGCTTAGCGCCGTGGACGCTTTTTTCAGCTGCGTGAGCGCCGGGCAGCCGCCGCGCATCTTCGTGGCGCACAGCAAGTTCGTCATCCTCAGCGCGCACAAACTGGTGTTCATCGGAGACACGCTGTCCCGGCAGGCCGCCGCCCCCGAGGTGGCCAACAGGGTGATGAACTCCAGTAACGTGCTGTGTGACTTGTTAAAAACGGTGGTGGCCGCCACCAAGACGGCGGCGCTCAACTACCCCAACACGCCCGCCATCCAGGAGATGGTGGACAGAGTCACTGATCTCTCACATCACGCACAACAGTTCAAAGAACAGTTGCTTCAAATGGCCAAATGGTGACTCTCTTTCCTCCACCTGATGTAAAAACGTTGTGTTGTGTAAATATTTGCTCTATTTTTTTTGTCTAGATTGTTTTATGTGGACTTTTTTTTTCATCATAACATTCCAGTCATATATTATGAAGCACCTTATGTTCGTTTCACCCATTGAGTGTCGTTGGCGTGTCGTACTGCTGGATGTGTGACAGTAGATCCGAGACTATGTTAATGTTTATAGCCGTGTGTGTGTGTATGTGTGTGTGTGTGTTTACGTGGGAAATGGGGTGGTTCTCCGCAGATAAAGACTTGTTCATAACCTTGACACTGTTTTCTTCAGTTCTTTATACACCTCAAAATGCGCTTCATAGAGTACTTCATATCAAATATATGTTTGTACTTTTTAACGCTGTCGTAATATGCCGTCAACAGGAATCCTAACGAGGAGTGTCATCAATATCAAATGCCATCAACTGGGTTTTTTTTGGGGGGGGGGGTTTGTTTTAATGGGAATGGGCAGAGAGAAGTTAACATCAACTACGGCTAGTAGGTAGCAGCCTTGGCCTCTTTTGTAAGAGTTTTTTTTGTTTTTTTTTTCCAACCTGGTAAGGCAACTGGGAACAATTTCTCATTTACGTTGCTGACCTGAAGCCAACGCGGGGTTCAACATCTTCCCCAAGGGCACTTCGACAGCCAACACTTTTGGCCTGGGATTTCAACCGGCAACCCTTCGCACAACGGACGAGCCGTACTACCAATTGAACCACGGCCGACAATTTGAAGAAATATGCAGCTAATGTGGAAACTTTCTAATAGATGAGGAAACGAGGGTGTATTTTCATTTTTCTTCCCTGTCAAACTGTCATCACGACCAGACACACAAATAGTTATTCATAGCTTCTATTCTAAAAATAACTGGTTATTTTTAACGGCGCTGGCATGACTTCTCACTAAACAGGGTGTACTGCACTGGAAGCTAGCAGACGCTGGATAATTCCACAGCGTTCCTGTAGAACATTGGATGTGACAGAGGCAAATGAGGACATGGTGTGTTTTGTACGCGTTCTCTGAGCCATGAGAGACTTTTTTTTTTTTTTTTTTTCAAAAATGCCAACACACATTTTGTCCGGCTCGAAGGCTCTCTTCACATTGGGAGTTGTTTTTGCTAGTTACGCGTCATAGCTAGCTGACATGGAAACATTCTTTTCCTCCACTTCATCTTTACTAAACCCAACTAAGTTGGTTTATTTTCACCTCGATAAAATAGAGCGTCTCCCCAAAGAGGGGCTGCTCTTGATAGATGAGACTACGCGAAGAAGAGACACCCATAATCACAGCGAGGTCCCTCACACACCCCGTCAGCTCCCAATCAGAAAATCTCATTAAACCTCTTTTCAGCTCACATAGGCTGGCACTGTGTGCCAAGCAATTTGTTTAGGGTTTTTTTTTTTATCTACCGCATTCCTGCTCGCGCTCTCCGGAGAGACGAGGAGGAAAAGGAATTTGCAAATGCAATCACTTTTTTATAAGGCTTCTCCATATGACTAAATAGTAATTCGGAAGATGTCAGCTCAATTTGGCTTGAGCAAAGTCCTACTCGGCGCTAATCTGCTTTGCCAGAGTGAAATACAGCAGTTTTATTGAACTAATTGCAGGGAAATAAAGATTGGCGCCTGCCTAGCAAGCAGTCATATATAAAATTGGCAAAACGATGTGGAGTCGAATATTGATCCAAGCTTCACTTTCATTCTCCAATATTTACTTATTAGGATGACTCAGGGTGCTGGGCTAGCTACCTCGTGCGTTCATAAAAATATACAACAATTTTCCAGTGGTTAAGCGCTACAGCAGAAGTCAGACGATTAATTTAGTTGTAAATATGTCATGTGGGAAGAGGCAACACAAAAAAACATCAAGTTCGCCCTCCTGTCCCTTATGACGACATTGACTGTATCTGCTGCCATTTAATTTGAAGTCCAAACCACAACAGGAAAAATGTCTAAAACTAGCTAAACGTAACTTGCAACAACAACAACATGCTGAGACAGGCTGAACAAAAGCAGCAATACAAAAACTAAATACACTTAAGACAAAGATGAAAATGAATATTTTCCTTGTCATTACAATTGCCTTTCGTTAGGTTTGTAACCATAAGATGTAGTTTTGTGAAGCATTTTTGGTTATGTTGTTATTTTTTTTTAAATTGTCGTTTTAGTTATGTCGTTGTTTTTCGTCGACTCAAATAACCTTACAGAATATGAAACAAAGCTAGCTAACAACAAAGAGAACATAAAACAGTAACACATTTTGACTGTCAAGGCAGAGGTGCTAAGGATAAGAAAAAAAACTGTTTTTTTGGGGACAGCTTGAAAAACACAACAAATGAACACATCTTACGAGTGAGCTAAATAATTAAAGCGTCGACCTGAGTGTGTTATTTTGCATTCAGTGGAAGAGTTATTGACGACAGAAAACACCAGGTCATGTCAGTGAATCAATGGAGTTATTTTTGTCCTGGCTGCTTCGAGTTAATCGACGCCAGCTTCCGTCCTTCAACGAGTGTTTATATGTCACCCTACAGACCAAACACTACAGACCTGTTTCTTTCTCTCTCTCCCTTGTGCCGCAGTTACACAACTCGGCAAAGTGCTGCGAAAAAATAAACTGTCTGGGGTTGCATTTTGCTTGATCCCAATTGTCGGCAGTCTTTCGACACGCTGCAAAGGGACGACAGCGAACAGGTGTTGGGCTGTTGAGATTGAACATTTGCAGCGAGGGAGTGAACAAATGAGTGAAACGTCAGCTGCTCTCTCACCTTGTCTACAAGGAGACGCCGTGTCGCCGAGCGTGTTGCAGAAGCAGAACGTGCACAGACAGAGGCAGAGAAAAGCACTGGAGAGGGGATGTCATTTCCGTGGTTTACCACAATCATTTCCTGTAAAGTATTTGCAGAATCTGAAATTACAGCTTCTCAAAGAGGGAGAGAGAGAAAAAAAGAAGGGCCCAGCTGCAGGTTCAAGACCAAATCTGAAGGAGAGGAAGAGAGAATTCATGCAGAGAATAGAACTGCAAGTGGATGTTGTCTCGCAGGATGCACACGAATATCCAGGAAACGTGGTTGAACGAATTTGCACGATGATAAAAAAAAAAAATTGCATACATGCACATTTGGGTGGTATGAATGTAGCATGCTAAGGCACATATTTTGCATGCAGAAAAAAAGCGCATCTAGCACCAAACAAAAAAGTAACAATGTGGACGCAGTTTAATTTACCTTCTGCCATCTAGTGGAAGAGTATATAATTGTTCTGTCTGTCACTGTACATCGCTGACATGTACATGGGTGGTGAAACGAACAGCATACAGACATAGTTAACAAGTGTGTCCCCTTTTTGCGACATTTAATTGAATATAAAATATGTTGGCATAAGGTTGGCAAAGTGCACTTGAGTGGGGGTCAAACCTGGACGTATAACAAAGTAGTATACACCGAGGATTTTAAGTACAATGCTGCCATCTAGCGGTCACTATGTGAAATGCAGCTGAAAGGACCTCAACTAAAAAAATAAAACACTGTACCAAAAATCAGAGATGGCTTTGTGTCCCAAAACACCCTTTTGATGGCGATTTAAAAATATCATCACTTTTTTTCCCCACCTCATCAAGTTTTTCAGATAATTCAATTTTTTTTCCTTTTTAAATTGACCGATAGAAGCTTGGGCGGTACGAATTTTACCCTGCGTTTTAATGCGCTTTATCCATTATAAGTAAGGCTTTTCGAGTGGGGGGCATTTCCACATTTATTTCAGGATTGCATATTTTTAAAAATATATAATGTTCTATTCCAGGACATATTCTTTAAATACTCTCGTATTACTTTTTGTTCTAAAATGCTTTTGGTACTGTCGTAATTAAAAACTACTGCGACAAATTGGTATTATAGTGAAAGTAACTTGTAGTGTTTTCTTTGTTTTGACCTGATGAATGAAAAATGGGTATTTACACAAGCAACACTTTTTTTTACTTTAAAGCTGGAAATAGAAGAAACAAACAAATTCAATTAGGACTTTAATGTATTAAAAAAAAATACATTTGAGCAGAAAACAGGACTGAGCTCTAAGTGTTTGGTTTGAAGCGGCTACGCCACAGAAATGATCATCATCAATTAAAAGGTGCAAGTTGTATTTTCTACAGTTAACCTGTAAATAAAGAGGATGACAAAAACAGCAATGCATTTGGCCCGGTTGTAGACGGAGTACTAAAAGGGGCTGATGTGATGAAAAAAAAAAACCCACGGACGCCATCTAGACTTGACCCTGGTGCGGGGCAGAACACACGGGGAGAGCGAGATGGGGTTGGACGCCATGGGGTCGGCTTGTCTGCAGCAAGGGAGCATCCATTTGGAGCTCCGGGATGTCAGCTTGTGTCGTGTGTAGCAGCATCAAAAACACCACGCAAATTCGTCAGCTCCTTGTAAACCACTCTTCAAGTGTACATTGTGTTTTTTAGGATCGTAGTAGCAGCTGTTTTACCCGAATAAGTCTATCGCAGGGTTGACAACTTTAAGTTCATTGCAATTTAAGAATGTCAAGAAGTTCATTGGTTGTATGTCGACTTAAAATCAGACACTCCATGGCCACTACAGGCGGCCCCCCCCCCACTTTTTTTTTTAAAGCCTAATAATGAAGGGCTGACTTCGTAATGGATGGCGCTGCAAATGGCTTTCAGGTCCGGTCACCAACTGAGTGTCAGTTGGGAAAGGTCCTCATTTAGTGTAAGGTGCGTAGTCAGTGGCGATCTACATGGTGCTCTCTGGGAAGGCAACTCTTTGCCGTGCAGTCCTGGGACGGTTGCGCGTGGGGGCGGTGGCGGCGCGTTCGCTCTCGCTTTCGGACGGCTTTGCCTGCGCCGGCGGGGAGGCTGCGTCCCCGACGAGTTCGCGCAGGAACTTGAACTTGGACAAGAAGAGCTGCCAGACCACATACCAACCTGTGACGGAGGCAAACAACATTGCAATGTTAAAGCCAGGCCATCATGTGCACTCTTGTCATTATCAGTTTGATAGTTTCGGACATACTGCTTACCCAGTGGAGCGCTTTTGAATCAGGAGAGACTGCCAAAACATACATTTGCAAATACAAAAATACTCTGATCTAAACTAAATGTGATTTTTTTTAACACTCGTGATGAAAATGCATTTCGTATGTTAGAATATGACTCGCATCTCTTATTTGTGTATTCCTTTAAAATGGTGCCCCCAAGTGTTCAGATTGAGAACACGTAACTAAAATGACTTGTCTTAACAGGCTAACTAAATTTAAGTGAAATGTGCAGCAAGGCTCTTTAAAAAAACGTGCGGTTGGAGGTTACCATATCAGCAAAGACAAGCTGCGACGAAATATTTGTATTTTGTACTTTTACGCGATCTCAACAACAATGGTATCGAAATACTATTGCACTATTCGCCATTTCACTACGTTTTTGCTTGTGTGTTACCTACATCCTTTCAATGTTTAGACACGTACATAACAATAATTTTGTACTGTACAACTGTTGCCATGTGATCCATAATGTGCACTTGCACAATGAAAATGTTTAAATGGGATTCCTGACATGGTTGATGGCAGTATCGCGTTAGTTTCAGTTGTCACTGACATGCCAGCAAAAGATAAATATAGACTCTTGGGCGTCATCGAAACTTGTAAAAGACTGTTAATCCTCGTTTCAAGTGGACACAATCGTCTAAATGCTCACTGACAATGACGCACATTGGCCTTAAATGTAAGACACTGTATTATGTAAATTAAACATGTAGACAGTCGTCCTTCCAAACTTACCGCATAACATGAAGATAAGAACACAAAGCAACGTGGCCACAATGACCAGCAATGTGAGCCCGACACTTTGCCACATCTTAGCTGGACACTTCGCTTTGCGACGAGCAGGGGAGATAGCAGTTTATTTGCCAAAGTCCACCATCGAAAATACAAAAAGAAAGGTACAGCAGCAGATTAGCTCCCTCGCGCCGCTGGCCGAGACGAGAGACAGACAATAACAAAACTGCGGCGCACCGCAAACTCACTCTAGCCTGTTAGCATGTGGCTACCGCAACTATCTTAAGCTTGACCTATAGCCACTTTCAAACCCGTAAAGGCTATTTTACGGTAACCGGGCCCAGCATATTAGGTGAGCGCCGGATTTGTGCTACATAACTGCAGAATGCCTTTGTTTTGCTAGCTCTTTAATGAGTAATTGTGTTGACAGGAGACTGACACTGCGGCTGCGCCATGACGAATTGACTTCTGGGTAATGAAGTTATTCATCCATTCAAGGGTCCAGTTACGGGAGCCTATCCCAGCTGACTTTGGGCGGAAGGCAGACAACACGCCAATGTGCGCGTGCGTCTCTGCGCGCGCGCGCGGACGGAAAGCCAAGAATTGTGTCTTAAATTGATTATAATAAATTCGGTAACAATTGCATTTATTTATTGACACGAACTATTTCTACACCTCTGCCTTCCGCCACTGCTGGAGCGCGGGGCGTTGCATGTTGTTCCTCAACCGTCCAGCAGGCGGAGACATTAACAATATTCTTCAGATCGTCTTATTCAAGATCATCGAACAAACAGTAAAGTACAGCATTTTTTTTTCTCTCACGTAGCAAGCCACCATTCCGAAGTAACCATGAGAATATAATTGTGGGAATGCAACTGCAAAATAGTGTCTGTCTCTCTGGGATCATCAAACACCATAAAGATTTGTATACACCCATTTAGCCATCAAAACTGGAGGGTAATAAATTGTCTTGAAATTCTCTTCCACTAGATTTGTAATTCCTATAAACTTATCAACCTATCATACGAAAACAAGAATCGAAACACTTCAACACGTATGCCTTAATCAGTCTGTCTGACATGAGGACAATTCACGTGCGCACTTGCAGGCCCAAATATCCTCCTTCCGCGCACTATTATTCACAGATTTTCAAACAAAGCATTCAAGGTGCATCATCGTCCAAAAAGTACACAAGCTTGTGCTGACGACAATCTTCTCGCCAAACCCTTCCTCATCTCATCTTATTTTGGCTCTGCATCATGATGATCTCCGCCGCCAACATCTGAGGGTCCACCACAAGTGGAAACATGTCCATGGCTGCGTCCACCAAGTCTGCGCTGAAGATAGCGAGGAGCTTGGTCCGGGTGACTTTTCTCTCATCCCCGTAGGTCGCGCGCCGGCGTGACTCCCCGGGTGTCACGTCAGCACTGTGCCGATGTACTGGCCCGAGGCTGTGATAGAGATGCTGGTCTTGGAACCTTTGCGACGAGGCAAAGTCATGGAGATAACAGCGGCATGGCGCACTCTGAGGATGGCAAGTGGGCATAGGGTGGGATTTACCAGATGGCGGTCCATACTGCGCATGACAGTTAGCCTGTTGACCCTCCACTGATTGATTCTCTATCGACCCTATGCCGGAGTCTAGCTGCTTATGAGAGCCATGCTCAGAAAAGTCCAAACTGTTCTTCCCCTTTCTACACGAGACCTTCTGCTTCGAGCAGTGAATCACTTTGTCTTTCCTCAAGGGGCTTTTCTCAAGGCCCAAGGTCAATGTCCTTGCCACATCTTCAACTAATGAGAGGCTTTGGCTGGGGACGGGACTCCTGACAGAGGGGACCTTTGCCTTTTCTCGAAGTTCATCAGCAAGCAAGCAATTGGACTGCTTGACTCGCCCCGGGTGGAGATATTTGCATCTGAGTCCATAGGTACATTTCTTTCCTGTGAAATGAACATAAAAGAGTGTCGGTTTAGAAACGTGCTAACGTACCTGAATGGATTGTTGTCATATAAACAAACCATTGTGCCGGAGCTACTTTGATACCGTTTTATTGGCTGTGACTTTGCGAGCTCAATTTTTGGACAGTCTGCACAGTTTAAAGACGGTAGATACTGTACAGTGAGGCAAGTCAACGCAACTTTATTGATATAGCACATTACATACACAAGACAACTCAATGTGCTTCACACGAACAAAGACACCTAAAAGCACTTTCAAACACAGCAAGCAGCTCATGACAATCAGAGGCAAAGCAGAGAAAGCAAATCTTACCAAAATAACATACACTTACAACACTTAAACACATTAACAGAAGATTACAAGCCCTGATAAATATGGTCAAGTCGAGTGAAAAAAAAATAAAAGTAGCTTCTCAAATTGTGAGAAGACCACGCTGTGAAACTGATTTCAAAATGTTGAAAAGACCTTTAAAGCTATAGCGAGAAAGCTTTTTATCTGGATTTACATTTACACTCGGGGTTGACTCACTTATTCCATTTGCGTGCAGCATAACAGTTCAATGCCGCTTCACCGTGTTTGCTTTGAGGCGTTCAAATCAATAAAATGTCAACTTTACTCACCGTAGGGACATGGAGGTTTTTTCTGTGTCTTCGGGGACCACCGCAGGAAATTCTCCAGGTTCGGACCGTCTCGGCCAAGTGGATCATCGGGAACCATGAACCTGCATTTGAGAAATACTGCATGTCAGAAATACCAACGACGACACGTTTTGTGCTTTTCAAGATCCTCCAGTTTACCAGAGACAGTCAAATAACACAACAGAGAATAAAGTATAATTTTTCCAAAGAGGAACTAAAGCGCAACAATTAAAGTGAAATGATAATAAAAGTACTGGTCTGATTAACTAAGATAGAAACCAGATGGCGGTTCCTCGATTGCATGTTCGCACTAACAGCTCGCCTTGTGCTGATAGTGGGTGTGTTCCACGCAATTTTCCAAGATTGTGACCTTCGTGGAAGGCGGTCGGAAGTTGGAGTACACACACACACACACACACACACACACACAAAGAGGAACTAAAGCGCAACAATTAAAGTGAAATGATAATAAAAGTACTGGTCTGATTAACTAAGATAGAAACCAGATGGCGGTTCCTCGATTGCATGTTCGCACTAACAGCTCGCCTTGTGCTGATAGTGGGTGTGTTCCACGCAATTTTCCAAGATTGTGACCTTCGTGGAAGGCGGTCGGAAGTTGGAGTACACACACACACACACACACACACACACACACACACACACACACACACACACACACACACACACACACACACACACACACACACCCA